GCTGAGTGATATCATATTTAGTACTTCTTCTCCACAGTTTCGTAGCTGAAAATTAATTTGTGCTTTTTTTTGTTTGTGTTTGTGTATGTGTGTGTCTACGCCTGTACATGTGTACATATGTAGGACACGCAAACATGCACTCATACCCGTCCTATATATATATATATACTTTTGTATTTAGGTAGCAATCATTCCTTTATGCATGTTTCATTAAAACGACAAGGTACAACAGTTAAGCATTTTATTTAATTTTTCTTGTGTTCCAACAAGAGCGTTCTTTTTTGGACACAGAGTGTGTAGATATTGTCCAAATCTTCCATAATTCCAAGTGCTTTTAGCTATACTTTTAGCCATTATCAAGGATGATTTTATTTTTTCAGTTTTATTGAGTGTGTGCGTTATGTGTATGTTTTTTGTCTGTTATAGAGATGTTTTATTTTCCGAACACGGTGAGTACATTGTGGCCTTGTTCGTAGTGAATATTGTTAAGAGTTGGCTTTTTCTTTTTTATTATTATGGCTTCCATTATTTTTAATCTTTTTTTTTACAGGCGGATGAGTTTATTACGTTTGTGTTTTCTAGTTGTATGATTCGAATGGAGACTGGTAGGTTTGTATTTCAATGGGTTCTAATGGAGCTGTGATCAGATAGGTGTAACGTAAGGCGTCTGGATAAGCATTTAGTTGTGTCATATATATATATATATATATATATATATATATCATTTATGTGCCATGCGTGATACACGCGTAGGTGATCATGTATCTTTCGATACATGACTGAAAAGGCAGATTTTTGCCGCAATAGGTTGCCATTTCTTTCTGCGGGAGAAGAAGTAGATTCATACCTTTCCCAAGCAAGTGAATGTAATGGATTCGACTGGAATTCGAACTCGGCTCTCCGATTCCTCCATCCCTGCTGCTATCCATTACTCCACCGTAATTATTTTTAGTCGGTACTATAATCTTTATTATTTTTTTGTAATCCATGAAATTTATAACAGCAGAACTAATGTGAGAAGTCCTATTAAAGAACAGCTGTACGTCCGGCTGGAATCGAACCTGCGTCCTTTTTTTCCCCTCAGGTAAAGACATGAAAGAAATTAAAAAAAAAAAAAACTTTAAAAAAAAAGAACTCTATACACAGGGTACCTCAAACATATCCTCAGTTTTTTACTTCAGTTTGAATATTTATAAAGAGATTTATTTTCATTTAAAGGTTTAATTTTAATTAATTTAATCTTTTTAAGTCAACAAACATTAATGTTTCTTAATTTTAACCATTGATCGTGATTGTAAGTCAATAAAAAAACTGCATTAACGTTCCTTTAAAGAGTGAATATATTTTCAGGGGGACACCATGTATTTCTGGGCAACTCAACAACAAAATGGAAGAATTCTTTGCAAAGCAGTGTTTCCCAACCGATTTAAGGCCATGCCCTATTTTGGTATTTCTAAAATTCTGGCGCCCCACCGTAATATTTAATTTTTACATGTATGCCAATTACACACGTACGTACATACACATAAAATATTCTTATGCATGCATACTATATATGTATAGTATGTATTAACAAGCATTAAAATAAACACCCTCACTCAGATTCATTTGAAAGCAATTCACTGTTAATAACTCATTCTCGAATTGCCCCCTTATTCTGTTGGTATAGTAACCCGAAAGGTGCACATTCTACGCATACCGCACAAAATATTACCATGCGCCCCAAGTTAAAAATCATTACTGTAAAGCTTTTTGTACTTAAACCCTTTGAGCTCTGCATTCCTGAACAATTTTAACCCTTTTGCCTGAGCTGCTGAGTCAAAATTCGCAAATAATTGGTATGTAATGTTTGACGGTAGATATAAAAATAGTTACAAGAGTTTAACCACCGTTCAACCGGTGGCTGGGCATTACGTCATTTTTCTGCTTCACCGGTAAAGGTTGGTCAGGGCACAAGGGGTTAAAGAAATTTCGTCAGACCAATGTAATGTTCTGATTGGTAGAATTATATGTACACGGACCAGGGAGATATACTTCAGTTATGCACTGAATGGGGAATTAATAAAAGATTTGCTAAAATTTTAAATGTTTTAAATTTTAAATTTTGATTTTAAAATTTTCATGTTTTCAATTTTAAAATTTAATTTTTTAAAATTTAGTAATTTATATATTCTCTCTTTTCTATATATATATATATATATATATATATATATATATATATATATATATATATATATATATACATATATATATATATATATATATATATATATATACATATATATATATACATATATATATATATATATATATATATATATATATATATATATATATATATATATATATATATATATATATATATATATATATATATATATATATATATATATATATATATATATATACATATATATATATACATATATATATATATATATATATATATATATATATATATATATATATATATATATATATATATATATATATATATATAAATATATATATATATATATATATATATATATATATATATATATATATATATATATATATATATATATATATATATATATATATATACCAGTTCAGTTATCTGCGGAGGGACCTATTTCGATCT